TTTAGCCCTCTAACTCAGGGGCAAATAAATAAATCAGGTTCTTTTCCTCTCTCATCCTTTTTAACTGTACAGATGAAATCTACCTTGTTTTCTTCTCTTAAAATATTCTTAGGAAATGCTTCTAGAATGTGGGGACTTTGTTGGGGGGTTTTTGCTTTCTTATTTTTTTAAACAATATTCTTTAGTATTCTTTAAATCTGCTGAACCCAAAGGAAAGTTCTACCTCTGTCTGCTTTGAAATGGAAGTGAGATTTCAACTGAATCTTGAATTCAGTTTTGCAGAATCTCAGCCAAGTGAAGTTCTAGTTTTTCTAGTGTTGCTACCCACCACCATTTCTCTTTATTTGGGCAGAAATAATGTATTTCAGAAAATTAATTCTATAAAGGGCTCAGCAGCTTTTATACAAGTTGCTATACAAAATAAATGTGTCATGCTGTTTCGTCAGCTGCGCAGTACTATGCATTTTCCCTTTCTAAATAGCAACCACCCCAAAAGGGAAGGAAGCAGTTATTTTGTAGTCATGTCCCTCTGGCCTCTCTCTCTCTCTCTCTCTCTCTCTCTCTCTCTCTCTCTCTCTCTCTCCCTCCTTCCAAATAAGATTTTTTTGCAGCAGAAGAGCTGAAAAGTGGCACCTTGTGCATTTCTGTCATTGCACGTTTACTTAAACTTTCGATGTAAGTTATTGGAGTGAGATCAGCAGCTGAGAGCACGATCACGCACAGCTCAGATTGGCTGTACAAGCAGTTTCATCAGATAGGACCTATGAAGTGACATCCAGTCTCAGGAAAAAAACTTTGCATTCCGTGCTGGAGGCTCCAGCTGATGCTATATAAAAGCAGGCTGTAATTCCGAGTGACATTTATACTTATGCTGGCTCAGCTCATGCTTGTGTTTCTTGACAAAGCACTGCCTCTGATTCTCAGGGCATTATGCACACAAATTTTGTCTTTAGTGGCCTGTAACTTGAGAATGATCTTTCCCTTCTATTCAGGAAGTAGTAAAAACAATACCAACCTCATAAATGAAGCAGGTTTTATGGACATTATAGATATGTGATTTTGTCACTGAATTTTGTCAGAGACAAAAATTACCTGCATATGTCATTGTGTGTTGGGGAAGGTGGAGCCTGGATTTTGAGGAAGGAAGAAGACTGGTTTCCAAGGTGATGGAGAAAATCTATACCAAATTCAACCTCAATGTCTTAACAAAAATAGTGTATGTGTGTATCTCCAAACAAAGCAGAATCTGACCCACAAAAGTCATCAACAGAAGAATATAAGGATAAGGAGATTGATTAATTTAAAAATAAGTGAAGCCAAGGTCTTGGAAGAAAAAGAAAAGCAAACATTTGAGCTGAGAGATGACTTAAAAGTGTGGCATACATGTCAAGTTGTGTGAAAACTCATACCACTTTACAATACAAAATCCTGGAAGAGAAAATGTAAACCTTTATTCAGATGATTTCGATGAATAGCAGTGTTGCTCATGCACTGTGATCAGCAAATCCAAGTGTAAGACAGAATGATTCAAAACCCTAATGGATTTGCCATAACAAAGGATAATGTCCACATTTCAGAAAGTGCCTCATCTCTTGCTGGTTTTCTGTCCAACTCATGCTTTTCACAGTGAAAAGTCCAAGTCTAAGGAATGCAGTAGAAGGATTAGTAGAATTACACGTGTCTTCTCTAGAATGCAGATATCTGTATTTTGAATTTCCTGCAAGTGTGTATTTCATGTTGGACTATACAATCCACCCATCTTGGCCCTGGTCAGATGGTACTGCATTGGTGGGAAGGCGTGTAGACCCTTCAGAACATGGGATGAGGACAGGAACTGTCTGGATCCTTATGTTTCAGGCAGGAAGAGAATGTTCCTGCTTGCACTCGTAACAATTTCCTGTGTGTTTCTTCAAATCTAAGGATAGAAACAAACCCCTCAATGAGCTGTATGAAATGAGAATGCTAATCATGTTGCTGTTGAAGAAAACAAATGCACAGAGAGTTAAGGAAAGGCAGAAGTTGCTTTTTGTAAAATCTGAAAAAGGCTTGGGTTTTGGTGGCTTAAGCAGAAAAGAATTACTAACTTACTTCCTGAAATAAGTGTAGGGGATCTACCAGCCTTTCTCTGCTGCTTCTAGTGATTTTGAGGTTGCAGCATTTTCATTCACATGATAAAGACTGGGTTTTTTTTTTTCATGGAAGAATGACAGATTTGGAGCAAATAAAAGTATCTATGATCTCATAAATCTCATTAAATGACCTCAAGTCTGCTGCAGAAAGGGATAAAAAATCTGAAATCATATCCCTTTCTTGTGTGCCACTTCATGAAACAGTTGGGGCCTGCCCTCATATGAGTACACTAGCTCCTCACCTATCTGTGTGCATCTAAGATCATGCCATAAAGCAGTGCCAGACCATATACTTGACCACTTGCAAATCCTTCCTAAAATATCTCCTGGCCACTGTTCCAGGAAAAGATCAAAGCAGAGGAAAACAGAACAGTGAAAGTGTATTGCATTTCAAGCACACTCTGGACCAGAGACCAACTTTGACATGGACATACTGGAGTCCACTAACATGATTCAAGAATTGGCACATCTGACACACCAGGAGCTGGGATTTTTTAGCTTTGAGAAGAGGTTTCAGAGTAGAGTTGATGTGTATAAACGTGTATCAATATGTATAAATATCAGTTGGAAGGGAGTAAAAAAGATGGAGGCAGACTCTTCTCCGTGGGACTTAGTCAAAGGAAAAGAGGGAACAGATGCAGACTGAGGTATACAAAATTACATTTAAATGTGAGAAAAACCCCATTTTTACTCTGCATGTGTTAAACATCGGAACAGGTTGCCTAGGGAGCTTGTGAACTCTTCGTCTTTGGAGATGTTCAAAACCCTGCCTGCCACAGCACCAAGCAACCTGCTGTAGTTGACCCTGTTCTGAATGGGGAGACTGGACCTCCAGAGGTCCATTCCAACTGAAACAATTCTCCTATGAATTCATTAGATCCATTCAGGTACCTTAAAGAAAACCCTAATAAACTCTAATTTTACCTATTCAGTAGTGTACAGGAGCAGAGTACTTCACAAATTTCTGAACATAACCCTACTACATAGGTAGCTTGACTGGTACAAAGCATTTCCTCATGTCTCAGAGGTTTAAACAGATGATGAGGGAGAAGCATCTAATAGTATCTCAGAACCTACCCTGGAGCCCATCTTCAATGTATTCCTCCTTTGCCAGTCTTCTGTGTAAGACCTTGACCTAGTTAGGTGTGAGGGGCTTCACTGCTGAGTCTAACAGGTATCTGCACCAGGTCTGGGCAGCGCATGGGTGCTGGCCCTCATTGAGGTTTGTATACATCCCTAGCTTAGATCTTTTAGCAATCTCCTTTCTGCAGGGTACTGCCACAAGTTTTGCTGCTCTAAACCATGAAATAAGTCCTGAGAAATCCTCTAAATCTTCTTGAGCAGCTGCTGGAGCAACATGGTAGGAAAATAAATAGATTTAGCAGTTTCTTTGTTGCTTTCAAAGAAAGCTAATTACAGACCTTTGGTAAAGGCCTGTTTCCCTTGTTGATATTTTCCCGAGTTTCCATAGCCTTTCAGGCAGGGCAGTATCTCCCCCACACGGCACAGGCAAAACCTTCCTCCTTGTACCAAGTCTCTCTCCTGCACCAGCTGTAAGTCCTGTGTAAGCTCAAGCCTGTCGTCTTTAGTCACATTTTGCACACCTCTGAGCAGGAAGGATGCAAGCCCATGAGCCGTGGAGATCCCTTAGCAGGCAAAGACTGAGGCAGGCTTTCAGCTTTTCAGTGCAGAGACAGTCCCTGGAATGCAGCAGAGTACTCAAGCCTTGGGCAAGTTTAGACACATGTTGATGCATAATACAAGATGAAGCCTATCAGTTGATATCAGACTCTTCCAGTCAGTCACAGGGTTGGGTAAGCATGTATACCATGCAAAATAGGAGGTAATATAACTACCAAATCAGAGTGATATGGGAAGGTTTCTTGTAATTCCTGGTTGACTGTTTCATTGTGATGTCATTCTGTGGGCTATGGGTGTTGAGTAGAGGGCAAGCACCACAAATAAAACTGTGGCATTATTTTGGAAAAAGGGAGTGAAGAAAAGTGGAGGGGAAAAAATAAAGGATGCCATCTATAGAAGCCATAATAATGCAAAATATACACTATTTAATAGGAATAACTTCAGTTTCTTCTGCATTTGTTCCATTTATGGCCTGAGTCATTCCTGGGCAGTTCAAAGTGCAAGACTGGAATCTAGGAGGTCTAGATTTTCTTCATACATTCCCAGTTGCTAGCTCATTGTATGTCCTGAACACTTACATATTTTTAAAGGGTAAGACAACCTAAAGGTTAAATGAAATAGCAACATTTACATGTAGAAAAAGTGACTTGTGCTAACATAGGACTCTCCTTCCCAGAGCAAGTGGTGCCAGGAATTTGGTGCCCAAGGCAAGCTTTAGGCAAACCAGGCCCTTCTCCCTGGGCAGCGGGAGGTCCCTCCTCGTGGCAGTCCTCGTCACCAGGGGCAAAGGGCACTGAAGCTGCAGGCTTTGGGTGGAGGAACAGACCAAGCCGTACCAAAAGTGAGGCATTAGAGTGCCTGGCGATACACTTAGCCTTGGAGGAAACCGACGGACACCGTAATGTGGGATGGGATAGCTCCAAGGGACTGATCTTTCTCCTGAAGGAGACGTTGACGGCATAGGACAGGCGAGGCGCATGGCTGAGTGGAAGAGAGCTGCAGAGCCTTGAAAGAGCTGCGGGGCGCTGGGGTGGGCACCAGGAGCTATGAGGGGGGCGATGGGGAAAGCAGCAGCAGATGTGAAGGAGCGTGTGTACGCCCCGAGGTGCAGAGGAGGCTGAACTACGGCGACAGGTTCAAGCGTCAAATCAGGCCTCGGGGCCTGAGTAGCGGGTCCCGCTGCAGAGCCCTACCAGGTGCGGCTGCAACAGGGCCCAGCTCCGGGGAAATTTACGGCCAGAGTCTCAGTAAGAGCGAGGGGAACCGCTCCCCGGCCAGGGAAGCTTCGCCAGTGGCTCCAGCGGCGGAGGGAGGAATGCGGGGCGGTGCCGGGCACAGGAAGCGGAAAGCGGCGGCGGCAGCAGCGACGGCGGCCGCCGCCGGGGAAGGTGTCCGGGAGTGGCGCGGCGGCGGAGGGTCGGGTCGGTGCCGGCAACGGCATGGGATGGCTGCGGGAGAGAGGTGAGTCCGTCCATCTGCCCGTCTGTCTGTGCAGGGCGGGGGGGGGGTATGCCGCTGCCCCCACCACGCCCTCCCGCCGCCAGGACCCCGGTGCTGGGGCGGCGGTGTGGCAGCCGCCGGCTCCTGCGCCTGGCCGCAGGGTCCATGCCTGCAGGGCCGGGCGGTGCGGCTGGGAGCCCCGGTAGTACCCGCTGCGGGGCCAGCCCACAGCGTCCCGCTGCCCTGCCCGGCGCTTTCCGGGCTGCGTGCTGGTTCCCGTGCCTGGGCGGAGGTGGAAGGCGGGCGGTGGCCTCCCTCCTGCCGGCCGGGGCTCTGGCTCCCCGCCGTGAGGCTGCTGGGGCGGCGTATCCGCGGTCTCGGCATCCTGGGATAAGCCCCTCGGTGCCGGCGAGGGCCGTGGGCGCAGCCCCGCTCAGCGAGCAGCTCTCTGGCTGCCTAACCTCGTCTTGCAAGGAACCCGTGCGCTGTTCGTGCGAGAGGCTTCATGCTGGTTTGAATGCTGTGCTGATGGTGCCTTGCGTGCCCACGGCGTTTGAAACAAATTGCTCTGTGTTCGGGCTTATTCCGCTAGGCAGCGCGGGAGGGGGCGCAGAAGTTGCAGGAAGGAGAGCTGCTGCGAAATAAGGTGGCGGGGGTTTGGTTTTTTTTTTTTTTTATTCAGAAGGTTGTCAAGGTGGTGAGCTAACTCTCTTATGCCAAGAGTTGAACTCTTTGAATTGCAGTCTGTGAAAGCATAAGTGACTTGATGGCAGGGTTTTCGATCTTCGGAGCAGTGGGATTTTTTTCACCCCAGGTTTGTCAGTAATGAACTGCCCACAAGATATGTGTAGCTATAAAGAGTTAAGAAATGGAGTCACGCTGGCTGGAAGTGCAAATTAGGGTGTTATGAAGTATGTTCTGTGATATTACTTGTGAGTTCAGCCTGACTTTAAGGAGGAGAGTTGTAGAGAAGGGAGCTTCAGCAGTGCTTTGAAAAGCTTTGTTTTGACCATGCTTGGCTCTTTTTCCCCTGAGGTTTGGCTATTTAGCTGGCCACAGCTACGAGGCCAGTGTTGGCTCTGTGTTCGCTACAGTTGTTAATTTTGAAAAATAATTGTGGATGGCGTCTTGTAAAAAGACTCCTTTAAAAATGTTCCCTATAGCTGAAATTTTGGAATAATCTCGGATTATACTGGAACCAGCCAGGCAAATATCTAACTGCTCACAGCCACTGACCAGCAGCTCCCAGTGGTTGCTTCTGACCTTTTGGTTTTGGTTAGTAAGTAGCAATTGTTCCTAGTGGCTGTTGTCTTATGGATATATGAACCTGGAGAGGGCTTACTGTCATTGCGAGACTGGGATACAGTACTAGGAAAACACTAGCAAATGACTGTAGCTGTCCTAGCAGAACTGCATGTTGTGTTGTTGTAGCCTGCCTACTGCCTGTTGTACCCCCACCTATTGCAGCCAAAGCAAAGGATGGTATCAGAAATGTGGCTTTGCTGCTACAGGGCTTGTGCTGCTGTGTGGGGACCTGAGAGACAGACCTGAGTGGAGAACTGTGATGTCCGGTTCTGCTGGTGGGAAACAGTAGGCTCATGTTTCTCCATGTCTGGTATCGTCGCTCAGAAGAAGAAAATGAACCCGTGTAAAAACTATCTCAATACTTCTTTTAATTTCTCATTAGCCTGTATGTCAGAATTTTCCGACTTGGGTCAAATTAAAAATCAGTGGTTATTTCCTCAGGGGTCAACACCTTTGCCCTCTCTCCTTGCAAGGATAGAACGGCATTGGACTTGTACATATTTGAGTACGAGGGAGACAGAGAGAGACTCCATACTGTGGAGTCCCACTGTTCTGTGTACTGGGGATTTGCTCAGGGTCTGTAGACTTTTTTTTTTGTTCTAACTTTAAATAGAAGATGCTGGCAGATATGCAGTGTCTTAAAGGAGGAGATGCTCTTTCAGTACAGAAACCTTTTGCAGTCCATACCTTTTAATCCTAACTCAATATCTCAGTGCTATGGCTAAAAGTAAATATTGAAAATGAGGTACAGTTGCTGCCTGCTAGGATAGACAGAGTCAGCAGTATCTTACGAGACTCTTCCCCGTTTGTTTCAGTACAGTTTTAAATGCCAGTGTGAAAAACTGTATTCCTGTGCACAGTCCCGAATGCTCTGGTGTCGAGGTTGAGGCCACAATACCTTGTACCACGTTGTATGGCTCTAGGGTTAAGAGGAGCTCTGGAAGGTCTGGCAGCACAGAACAGACCCATGAGTGAGGAAGCACAAGCTTTCACCAGGACGGCGCTTAGGTGTAATTTGTATGAAAGTCCTGAGTGCTCATTGTGCTTCAGAAACTTGAATATCACAGATATGGCTCTTGGAGTGGGCAGAGGACATCCTCTAGGGAAATGCTTCACAGATGGGTCCCATGTAGAGAGCTTCTAGCTGTGTAACAGGGAGGCAAGAGGCTGGGGATTACTGCTTGGAAACACTGCTCCCTTGGGTGGTGGTTTTGCTTGGGTATTTCTCTTGTCGGTTGCTGTGTTTTCAGACCTGTGTTATTGCACATTCTGAGTAAACAGTGGATTGCTTCAATAAACCAAGTGGCTTTTCTTTCTGAAATATCCATGTCAGGGACTAATGGTTTTCAGCTTTGGAGCTGGAAATTCCGGGGGATCTGCGAAATTTTTCTGAGGATCCGCTGAGAAGCAAAAGAAAAGAGAACCTATTGCTAGAGGGCTTGAATTTGCTGACTACTAAACGGAGGGTGTTTTTGAATGAGAGGCATGGAAATCAAGAGGCACCACCATAGACTAAAAGCCTGGTTTAGTTTTATGTATATAAGGCAAAAATTGACGTTATTTAATGACATGCAAAAATGAACACAAATATTGTAGAAAAACTTTGTTTTCCAAAGCTCATTGCCCATTAAAACTGGAAGTCCTGGCTCTGCGAGTGGATTAGCATGGATGAACTTCTGTGCTTACAGATCAAGTTGCTGGATTGGGGCCTGCTCTGGAAATTCAAAAGCAAGAGGTTCCTGTGGCATTGCTCATGGGTCTTACTATGGCTGCAGTTGAACATAGCAAGTTATGCAACGTCTCATTTTCCTGAAGTGAATAATGGGAATGTCCTGCAGCAGTGCTGTGCAGCCAAGCCAATGCCAGAGTTGAAAAAGCTTCCTCACTGCTTAGCTGCCTTAATTGTTTTTACTTTTGAACCCTCAGCATTTGAGGTTCTGTGTGCTTGATTTGCAAAGCTATTCGTTTCACTAAATGAAGGAAAAAAAGATTTCTCAGTACAATAGCTCGTGGGCATCCATTACCCCATAGACAGCTGGTGCTGTTTAACAAGTGAGGCTGATAGCATTTGGAGCTGAATTGTGCACACATCCTCATGGACACTTGTGGCTGCTTGCGCTCCAGATGGCACTTCCAAATAGATATAACTTCATGAACTGACTGGTAAACCAACTAATTGATTGCAAGTTTTAAACAGAGCAAGATTGAAACTGTGCAAAGATTTCAAAGATGAGCTGCTCTGAAGATATTTGCATCAACTTCACTGGAGAAAATCAGTGGGAAAGCATGGGATGTAAAAGGCAGGTGTTCTTTGCGTTTGCCCTCTTTGATTTAAAGATGTGACTTGCTCTTTTAAATTTCTCTTGGGCTTCGAGCCAAACTGCACTCCCTTGAAGGCGATCACAAAGCAGACTTCATTGGAAATAGGATTGGGCTTCCAGTGTGGAAAATAGCAATTCAAAAGAAATCGTTTTGAGATTTATAAGCATATGAAAAGAGGGAGTTACAATGAGTTGTGTAGCGGCGTAGAAATTGTAATTACAGTGATCTCTGAGGTATTCAGAGGTAACTGCATTTCTTCATTGTCATGCAGGGTGCGGCAGTCCTCCTTGCCAGCACAGGGTCACAAAATTTACTTTGGGGTGCCCTTACCATTGTTTTCCGTCTAATACTTGGCTTCTTTCTGTCATCAGTAAGGGAAAGGCAAAGTGAGAGTGCTGGCCCTACTGGGAGCAAAGTTCTAGGTGTACAGTTTATACAATTGTGGTGGAGCAGAGGAGGCATTCCCATGTCCCCTCTGGCTGTTCGCTTGTGCTGCTCTTCACCCTGATGTTGGTTTTGATGTTTGGAGCTGTGCTGTGAACTAGGTCATGGAAAAGATCCAAGACAAAAGCATGGCAGGGGAGAGAAAAGGGATTTTTTGTTTTGTTTTCCAGCAGAACTGTTTGCTTGCTGAGAATTGTATTGAGACAACGGAGAGTGGTAAACCGTGGTGCTGAGTTGGAAGCTACTTACACCAGCTTTCCTATAAACAGACCATGCCTTCAGCGGAATCCTGTGTAGTGATCTTTTGTGAAGCCATTTTGATTGGCTACCTTGGACTCTGAATTCACGCTTTTTTGTGAAGGGATGAGGCCCAAAATGATGGGGCTGCTGCTTTAAGCAGAAAGGTCATTATTGCTCAGAGGGGTAGGAATCATCATTAACAGTGATTTAGTAGTGGAGGTGTGTTCTAAAGGCTGTGTTTAGTTTGGCTATGGTTTTGTTATGAAGGACACACGTACAGCTTATCTTCTCTAGGTTTCCTCAGGTTCTAGTAGTGGGCACTCTTGGGGTGGTGGCTAATCCAGGCTTGACTTCTGTCTGTGCCATTGGAAGAGCTCCAACCCAGAGATGTAGTTTAGCATATTAATTGTCTTTTGGTCCCTTCCTTACCTCTTACACAGAAGAAGCTTTTCTGGTGTAAGGCTGCCTTGCCTTCCTGTTATGAAATAGACCAGGAGGTGGGTAACTGGCTTGGCATGGCTATTGAGGAGTGTGTGTTTGGACTGTGCTGCTCCCTCCTTCACTGGGAGTGGTGTCTATCTAGCAATCCAGGCTACCCTCTGTTGGACAAATGTAGGAAGCCTTCTTGATAGTCTGTCTTAGTTGGGCGCTAGGCAAAGCCAGTGGTCTGCTTTTTCCAGCTGAGGTTGGGTAGATAAATTTTGTTCCTGACAGCCCTGTGAGTGCCTCAACAGGAAGATGTATTTAGCCACTGGTGTATCCTGCAGTCGGGGCAAGGAGGAGGTGTGGAGTCTGAGTTCATGGCAGTAGAATCATTTAGGTTGGAAAATACTTCTAGGATTACTGCTTTTGACAGCGATCCAGGAGACTTGATGGTTTTGGGGGGCCACCTTGTTGACTTTTCACAGAGCTGCGTCAAAACCATTGCTCTTGCTTACACAGAAAAGGAAAGTTGGTGTGATCCAGCCTGCCCTGATGTTCCTGTGGTGGTCTTTTCTGCCTGGTGCCCAGCAGTGCCTTGCTTCACTCACCATTAAATGGGCACTGCTTGTTCATGAGTCCTGTCCAGGCAGCCTGTGCATTTCCACAGCAGTCTCTACCTGCAGAAATGTTCCCAGAGGCCTTCAGAGAAGTATGATCCTGTGCTTATGGGGTGAGAAGGGTCAGAAGAGGAGCTCTATTTCCTGTCCCCATCTCAGCTCTGATTCTTGTGCCTGGGATTTGGGGAAAAATTCTTTTATGTGGTTAGAGGAAAAGGGTGAGAGTTTATACTTTCCTAGAAGGATTAGAAAAATATGTAACCCTTACTGATGTATGCCAGCAGCTCGCCTTGCTTTTCTTATTCTTGCAATGCAGTGGTTTGTACCTGTGAAGGTAATGGTTGTTCTCAAAGGGACTCCAGTGACGTCACAAACAGTGGTTTAAGACTACAATAACTTGTCACCTTTTGTTCAGCTGAGGGTATTTCTGGTCCGTGGTGCCTAATGACTCCAAAGTCCTGTGTAGCCATCTCCTTATAGTGCTTTTTGAACGTAGTGAGGTTGTGGCCTCACCCCCGTTTATCAGAGGAAGACAAACACAGAGAAAGGATTTTTCTGTGGTTGCCTAGCAGGACAGTAGAGGTAAAAATCAGCTTTAATGAGTCACAGCCTATTGCTGGAGCTGTAAGGTACAGGCTGTATGCAAATCTAGGGAGTTAATGGGTCTTAACATCATATCTTGGGCTGGGGGATTTTTATTCTTGTTACAGTAATTATGCCGTTTTCCAAACTGTGCTGTGCCTTGGCTTTATGTTTTACTGTGTTTAAATCCATCCTCATTCCTTTCCTCCTGAAACCGGGCTTTATGGTCCCATCCTTATTTGTCCTTTTTGTATACCCTGATGCCTTAAAGTTTTCTCGAGGCACAATATGCCCTTAGAGCTTGGGAATCCTGTACGCAAAAGGTCTCCATGCCTTTCTGCTTTCCAAGAGCCCCGGAAAGCCCAAGTGTTGTGCAAATACCTGCAGCTCTGGATGCAGTGGGGGTGCTGCTTTACTTCGTTGCAAATTGCACCGCCAGCCAAGGAACCCTGTGAGGAAGAGGCTTCCTTCTTTGGTACAGCTTGCATGTGGTAGAAGTCTCTGCTCTGCTATGAGCTTTTGCAGAGGTGTTAGTGGAGGAATCTTACTGCTGGCAAGAATTGTTGGCCAAAGCAGGATTCCTGTTGTTGTCCCTCTGTCTTTGGGGAAGAAGAGGGCTGAAAGCAGTGGTTGCCTGTTTTATTGCTAACAGCTTTGAAACCTGCTGTGAGCAGAAAATTACGGTGGGATCTAGTTTAATTTTAAAGTGGTCTTTTGCCCACTCTGAAAGCACAGCTTGGCTTTAGTCCTGTGTTTGCTGGAGGCAGCAGTTGCCTGGGCAGAAGGCATGTGAGAATGCTCCTGTGTGCCACAGGAGTGCTAGGCTGTGCCAGCATACCTCTGTCCATAGCTGCAATCCTTCCCTCTTCCCTATTTGCATATGTTTCCCCAAAATGGTGATTAACTTCTTAACTCCCCTCCTTTTTGTTTCTCTTCTCACTTAATGCAGGATGTAGATTTGGAAAATGTCTACCCTTCCTTCCCACAGGGCGCAGGGGTTTTGACATGTTACTGTTGGGAATTGTTCTAATGTTGCCCTGCTCCTGTTCCAAAAAGCATGAGCCTCTTCTGCCCTTTGCAGATGTGACTTTAGCTGCTGTTCTGAATGGAAGTACATTGTAAGAAGTTTGGCCCATATAAGCTAGACATGATCTCTAATCGACTCTCCCCAGTGTTATTAATGTGTGTGTGTATATATAGAGATGATTTTTAATAAAATTGAAAGAGAGGGAGGTGTTCATACTGCCAATGATTGTATAGTAACTAATGTGCCCGTATAGTAGGCACACCTTGCAGTTATGAAAACAAAGCAGGTTCAGACACAGTGGGCTGATTCTCTCCAGCATTTCTCCTAGGTAAGTTGCCCTCACCCTCACCTCTTCCCCCTGTAAATAGGCTATAATGCTGCTGTTCTGAATCTGGGCTTATTTGGGCTGTGCCTCACACAGGAGAAGAGATGTGGTGTTGAAGCCAAGCCCAGTCCTTTTTCTGTGGGTGAATTTTGATATCTAAGTCTGCTGTGCCTTCTCCAAGTCACTATATCTACCAGGTGATCTTGACTGTCTCTTCCAGATTTTTGGTTGAATGGGCTAAACTCTGCAAAATAGATGCTTTGAGTTAATTTAAAGCTCTTCAAATGCATATATTTCACTAGATCAGAAAGAGAGGTGCTGACCAGGACAGGCTTGATGAGTGTGGTATGTGGCCAGAGTGAGGGAATTCCTGCAGGAGGATTGATGTCTTGCTTTGCTTAGTGTGCACTTCCATGCCTGTTTCTCATTTCTTAGGTCGATTCTGAGAAGCTAAGCAACCTCCCTCCCTTCTGATCAGATTCTTTTTAAGTGAAGCTCATTCTGTCTCTGAGGACCAGATCTCACCCATGACTGGGAAGCAAAGAGTACCCAGGAAAGCACTTTTACCACGGACTCCACCTCAGGAGCACCAGGAACTCATCTTCTAAATAGAATCTGTGCCCCTTCCGTGCAGACCCAATGTCTGCTGCAATGGATACAGAATCAACATATTCGGGATACTCCCACTACTCAGGTCACTCCAAAAAAGCTCACAGACAAGGGTAAGGAAATGTTTGTTTTTAATTATTTACTGCTCTAAGTTAGGACATGTCCAATGGGGAAAAAAACTGTAAGCCAGGATAAAATCAGTGGCCCCACGTCTCTGGAGGAGATACGTGTGGGAAGTCCTCGTGGGGAACACAGTAAGGAAACTTGAAGTTGATAATTCAGTAGTATTCAACCTGTTGGTTGCATGCTGGGGTTATGTGTGGCCAAAAAGATTGGGATGGTGCCAGCAGAAATAAAAGATCACCTAACTCCCCTCTTAAAGGGTAGGGGATGAGTACAATAACTGGGGAGAAGACATGTTAGACTTCCTAAACTGATAATTGCTAGTTGTCTTCTGATGCCATTTCTTTATTCTGTAACAATAAGGTTTACTGCCTCTCCCCACCCTCTTCCAGGCTACTCTGTTAATGGTGTGTTGAGGTTTTTTTAAATAGAATTTGAGTGGTACTCGAGTTGGCAACAGGTCCTTTATCAGCACTGATTGGATTAGAAGTCAGGCTTTCCTGAGCTTGAATAGCCAGTCCTCTCTGTGGTGGCAGTTCAACAGCCTAAAAACCCCTCTGCTCTGAAACTTCTGATTATTTGGAAACATTTTATTTCTTTTTTCCTACATCATCTTTAGTTTTACATGTAAAATATGTGCCACTTAGTGTTTGCAACTTATTACTGAGCGGATCCAAAATAATTTTCCAATTCAGAAGCAATTATCCTGCGTGGTTGGAAAAAGAATTTTTCCATAAAGTCTCTTTGCTCACAATCCAGTTATTGAGGAAAACATCTCATTTGCCTTTTTTCCCTTCCTTAACGTCCAACCCCCCCAATACAATTTGCTCATTTAAACTTAGAATGCTGTGTGGAAAGATGCCTTTAGAGTTCCAAAACCAACATAAAAATCCTAGGGCCCTTAAACTGGAAAAAGTGTCATCCCATGAAACCTTTGGGCTTTAGTAATTCCAAGAGAGGGGCAGAGCTGGGATACTCATGAGGGTTGAGCAGTGCAAAGGCTGCTTTTTCCTGTCCATTTGGGAACAGGGAGGAAAAACATTGGGGAGCAGATTGGTAGGGCTTAATTCATCTTGAGACTTTCTCAGATGAGAAGCTGTGAGGTTTGCAAGGGTGCTCTGGAAATAAAGACTAGCTGTGTACCCTTGATGTTCTTGATTTCTTTGTGAGAGGTTAACTTGAGGTTATTAACCAGTGGAAATAAACTTCACCAATTGTCCTATAGTGTTAAGGTCGGAGATGACAAGACTCTGCTTTGCAGGAACTAAAGCTCTATTGATTAATTCCTTGTGTTAACTGGACATGTCTCTGCAAGTCACTTCTTGTAGGTGGAGAACTGCATAGACCAGTAAATTTCAAATGGAATTGCCAGTTGTTTGGAGAATGCAGGCTTTCCTTTTAAGCACAGCAGTAATGGAAGCTGTTTTAAGAGAACATGTGGTGATGGGCATGGATCCCTGTCCTCTGCTATGACTGAGGGGGTGGTCTGTCCCAGCCTCCAGCTGTCAGCTTGTCTGGGCAAGGTCCCTTTCTACCTCCTCCAGATCTTGTTTTGTCACAGCCTGTGTCTGTGTTGATGAAGAGGTGGACAAACTTGACTGATCTAGTGCTTGGGGCACCTGTTGCAGGTAGAGGTGCAGCACATTTCAGGCCCTGTTCCATAGAGTAACCGGTAACATTGTTCTCCTCCTCCTCTGTTTCAAAAAGGAGCCGCGACAGACACAAATCTCCCCGAAGCAAAGATGGCAGTCGGTCTGAGAAGTCTGTCACTATCCAGACACCTCCTGCAGAGCCACTGCTTGGGAATGACGCCTCTCGGACAGAGGAGGGCCAGGTAAGCAGGGCGTGAAAACAAACTTGGAGTGTGTCTTGTGGGACAGAGCATGTGGCTTACTGGCTCATGAGTAGGAAGAAAGAATTTCTTGCATGCTGTTTACTAAGGAATCATGGTTTATAGGTGCCCTTTATTTGTGCATACAGCCAAGGTCTCGATCACTTCTGTCTTGTTCTGAGGATGTTATTTCTGACAGCACCAGAGCTGATGTGACAACTCCTTGGGCACTAATATGCACCTCTCTCTGGAATGTCATCTGCCAAGCTCTATAGACACATCTGTTTCCATCATCTTACTGTGCATTATTCAGGTCAACCCTTTCACTTGTGTATTTCATTTTTTAATCAGGATTTGCTCCAGGTAATGATGTAAAGTACATTAGAATCAGGATTCCAATAGGGAGAGGAGTCAAGAAATTTAGAACTAGTGTGAAATAGCTGTTAACGAGGGTGAACTCAGAGGAAGTTTGTACATAAAAATGGGTTAAATAAAAACTAGAATAATACTGCATTTGGATTGTACCTAGGACGCATCCAGTGCTCTGCTGTAACAGGTGATGTGAAGGTGCATATTCATTTTCAAAGAATGGCTGATGCTGCAAGACATAAAATGAAGGATGCTTCAGTACCTCCTGGGATGGATTTGGGGTTTGTTAATCATTATGGGCTGTGGGGCTCCACTTCTGCCTTTACAAAAAAAAAAAAAATTATGTGTTTTCCAGCCAAACTGTGGATGGTGGTACTTGTAAGAGTCTTCATGTAGCTACTGTGTGCTCATTTTATGTTCTGTAATTTGGTATTTTGTAATCAGATGCTTTTTTTCATGAGTCCCAGCTATTATTTTAAATAGTTCTAAAGGTACTGGTGACTTCCTAAGTCCTTGTTTTCATGCAAGCCTCCTCAATTAAAGCCAAAGCTAAATAAGTTGATATGTGAGCCAGACTTTTTTTTCCTAGGGAGCAGAATGTCCTCAGGTAGGTCCAACAGCTGTGTGCCACTAGAGATTTAGCCTCAAATTTCTTCTGCTGTGAGGAAAGGCTGAGGCAGGTAGGATTGTTCAGCCTGGAGAACGCTCTGAGGTAACCTTATTTTATGGCCTTTCAGTATCTGAAAGGAGCCTACAAGAGAGCCAGAGAGAGACTTTTCACAAGGGCATGCAGTGATAGGACAAGGGGGAATGGTTTTAAAATGAAAGGGGGTAGATGTAGATTGGATATTAGGAAGAAATTACATGCTCTGAGAGTGGTGAGGCACTGGAACAGATTGCTCAGAGAGGCTGTGGATGCCCCATCCCTGGAAATGTTCCAAGACGGGGTTAGATGGGGCTTTGAGCAGCCTGGTCTGGTGGAAGGTGTCTCTGCCCATGCCAGGAGGGTTGCAACTGCATGATCTTTAAAGTCCCTTCCAACCCACAGCATTCTCTGAGTCTGTGGTTCCATATAAATGCCCTTTTTTTTGGTATTAGGCTGTAGTCCACTTTTTCAAGTGGAAAGAGTTGTAAGGGCTAAACTGTGACTAGGGTTGCCTGTTGTCTTCTGGGATGTAGCCTTAAGTTGCTATGCTGTTCATGTCCCTTCTTCTTTCTGCACAATTTTGCTGCTTATTAAATGGAGGAAACTATGCAGAACTATTTAATGCATAAACATTAAATAGTTGAAATACCTAAGTTGCAGAGACGCTGTTAAAGAGGAAAATGTGGTAGGAATATGCTGCCTTTCAGGACATACTACAATGCAGATATCTCTTCTGAGGCCTCTGCTTTGGTGAGAAGTGACTCAAAAAACCTCTCATATTAATTCAAGATGATGACTATTTGTGGTTGGTCTGTCTCAAAACCCTACTGCTCTAAGCATGGGAGGCAGTCATGTCTTGGAGTGCATTAGAAGTTAAATCCCTGGAGTTGGGAGTTGTTCAAAGTTGTTGTGCTGCTTCAGTCTACTCTTTTCCCAAAGACTCTTTCCTCTAGCTCTTAAAAAGAGGTGAATAAAGGTTTAAAATTATGCCTGTCTCTTTCAAATAAGTTGTTTTGCTCAGCATGTGCAGTTGGAGAAGTCGGAGGGAAGTTGCAAATTCTGTTAGTGACACAGGCTGCAGGAAGATATTCTCAGGAATAAAAGAAAAATGTGGTTCTGAATGAGCATTGCTGCTATAAAAGGTGCCAGATGCCAAGCAGCAGAGCCACATGCATTGCCTCTCTTCGGCATGCATTTGTGGGAAGCATCATTAGCCTCCATGTGCATGAGTCACTCCAGCAGCAGTTGTGAGTCAAATCTGTACACGTCAGTGTAACTCTTTGGCTGTGCCAGCACCTGGAAGGAGTGATTGGAGGCATTGTAGCATGGGAGAACCAACGTAGGCATTGTCTGATGTTAGCTAGGGAAGAAATGAGACTTTCAGAACACATAATGTAATCTGAAACTTGCCTGTATGGTGACTGTATTTCAGGTAAGACTCTTTGTAAGTGGCTTCTGACAATGGCCTGGATTGTAATACCAGAGCTACTTGGCAGTCTAGGATCCTCTAAACTTAAAAGCCCCATACCTGAAAATATCCTCTGCGATCACCTTGAAATATGTTGGTTTAACTAAACTTTTATTAGATTGTCAGCTACTGAGGGCAGTGCTACTGTAGAGGAGAATGAAAGACAATGAAGTGGAAGAACTTGCTGGGAGGTGTGGTTGCTTCTGTTACGGATGGAAAAATAATGTGAGAACATGTTTTTGATTGTGTAACAGCAACAACTGGCTTGATGCGCTAAAATGAAAAATTTCCTTCCAGCTGCTTTTGTGGTGCAGTTGCACTGCAGAATTTGTGGGCTGGAAGAATACTAGTCCTTGCCCTGGACATGGGAACTGGTGATTACTACAGTTTCCAAGACTTATGTCATGTTACTCATTAAATGTGCTGGAAGAAGAATCTCTGGGGGTACAGTGAGTGGCACAGCAAGCTGAGCTACCTTCTCTGCAGTTACGGGCTTTTAGCACCTAATGTTTATAGTCACTGGTTTGGACAAGTTGCTTTTGTTTCCAAATCTTTACTAATTGTCAGGGTTGGTTATTCACTATGTTTAAGGTGTTGTTTTTGCTGTATATTTTTTCTGGAGCTTAAGGCTGTCATAGCAATCTTTCCAGGCAAGAAAAACAGAGCATGTGGAAGGAATAGCCTGATGGTTTCAATGTTATTTCTATTTATCTCTTCCTCCTTCAGGATGACAACTGGGGTGAGACCACGACGGCAATCACAGGCACCTCTGAGCACAGTATTTCCCAGGAGGACATTGCCCGGATCAGTAAGGATCTGGAAGACAGTGTTGGGTTGGACTGCAGACGTTACCTGGGCTTAACAGTGGCAGCTGTTCTTGGACTCCTAGTCTTCCTTACCCCCATTGCCTTCATTCTCTTACCCCAGATCCTGTGGCGAGATGATCTGGAGCCGTGTGGTACTGTCTGTGAGGGACTGTTCATCTCTGTGGCGTTTAAACTCCTCATTCTCCTGATTGGGACCTGGGCTCTTTTCTTCCGCCAACCCAAGGCAGACCTACCAAGGGTGTTTATGTTTCGGGCCCTTCTGCTGGTCCTCATATTCCTCTTTGTGTTTTCCTACTGGCTCTTTTATGGTGTTCGCATCTTGGACTCAAAGGACACCAACTACCAAGGAATAGTGCAGTATGCCGTGTCTCTGGTGGATGCCCTGCTCTTCATCCACTACCTGGCCATTGTGCTGCTGGAGCTGCGGCAGCTGCAGCCCATGTTCACCATCAAGGTGGTTCGCTCTACGGACGGGGAGTCGCGATACTATAGCTTGGGACACTTGAGGTAGGTGCAAGCCCTTGGAATCCGGTAGTATATATAAATGTGGATCTGCTGTGACGTGAAGCATCAGCTGCATTTGAGTATGTGTTGTTGCTGGTTCCTGAATCTTCCCCCAGATTAATTCCTGGAGATCCTCCGAAGTTACTAAACTGAATCTCTCTGCCCCCTCTCTGAGTGTGGGAGAGGCTATATGTGCCTCCAGGGAAGTGCTGTGCATTTCAGTAAATTAAAAAAGCTGGTTTCGTAATGTTGGGATGGTCAATGTGTGATGCCTGAAGAGATCTTAAAGAGCCTTCTCTGGGCTTCTTTCTCTGTCTCCTTCCTGGAGGAAAATGGAGATCTCTCCTTGTGTAGCTGGGGCTACCTTGTGTGTTTTGATTGTATGGGCCAGGCACTGCTTTGGGAGCAGCCCTTCAGGCCATGCAGAGCATAACTACTCGGGGATTCCTGACAGCAGGCCAGGCCATGTGGCAAGGGATGAAGATTTTATGGCATGATGGCTCTTTTTGCCATTAGATATGGATCAGTTTGTTGGGTTGGATGTATCAGGGAGTATTTGGGAGCTGTAGGCATGGCACACGCATGCTGCTTCCACTCTCCTGCTGGCATTAGTGCTTCCCTCAGCAAAGGTACAAAAAAGGACAGGTGTCTGAATTGCCTTAGTTCCTGTGTCCTGCAAAGCTCTCCAGAAATGCCTTAGTTCCTGTGTCCTGTGAAGCTAGTAGCTGAGCCCTAGAGATGATTCCCCAGGCTGAATGTGCACTTAAACATCTGTTCAGCTTATCCTGTCCAGACCTCAATGGCATGTTTATCTGTGGCAGATGAAGAGATTAGCATCTACTGGTTTAAGTGGATGTAGGAACAGTCTCCTGCAGCCATTAGCTTAGCAGTGGAATTGCTTTGAAGCAGATTTAGTTATTGAAGCTGAAGTCCGGGAGTTTTCTCCTGGATAAAGAACTCAACGCCTGTTGGGTGAAGTAGGTCTGGGCTCTGCTTTTCCTCCTCTGAAAATGTGAAGGGGAGAGCCCCTCCTCTATAATGGAAGTGCACCCGTTGCTTAATTAAACGTCTCTTTCAGGATTTCAAAAAAAATGTACTAATATCTGTTGGTTTTCTTCTGAAAACAATTCCTTGAGCTTAACTGTTCTGTGGTCAGTGATCCAGCATAACCTATGAGAGAGATGGAAAGATGACTACCAGAGTTTCCCTGTGCTACAATATTGTGCCTTGAGGTGTGATGAGGCAGTTCAATCATAAGAGAATCCTGCAGAGGAAGTTTGGTATGTGTCTGTATTTACTCATATATACACACACAGCAGATTTGGTTTGAGGGAGTTTGCTTGGTGGTAGATTGTGGATTTGTGTTCAGAGGAATTGAGATCCTACACCTGCCAAAGTCTGCATGTCTAACTTGCCATTGGAGGCAAAGAATTTGCTTGAGAATCAAGGCTGGAATATTTAATAGCGCATGTGTTAGAAGCAGTGTTTTCTACAATTCTTTTTTGCAGCAGGGTTTTCGAATGTCTTGGGTGATGCTATGTGGAGGCCTTGAAAGGCACTCCCACCCTGTTTCCCTGTTGCCTTCTGTGCCCTAACCCCACCCTTGTGACACCCCCACGTCCCCTGGTAATTGTTCTCTGATACTTCTTTCCCCGCCCTGCTCATCCCACATACCTAACCCAAAGCCCCAGACACTTGCTTTTGCCTTTGCCTCTGAACTCCGTGTGAGTGTGCTCACACGTGGCAGAAATAAACATCTCTGTGAAACCCTTGCAAAGGCCATTTCTGTTTCTTCACCTGTTTCACCTCAACAAGAACCCTGACCACAACAATGCTAAGGCTGCAGAGTTGTAAAGCCTGAGATGTATGAAAACTTGTAACTTCTCGTTTCTGGGCAAGCTGATATCAGTAAGCCATGCAGCGCATGGATGCTCCAGTGTCCTGTGTTACAGAAGAGTCTCATCAAGTGTGTCTGATAGTGCTAAAATAGTGTTGCTTTTTCTTTAGTTTGATAGATGAGCATAATTTGTATTGACATGTGTTTTGAAACCTGCGTGTCTTTGCATATATACTGCTGCAAAGGTAAAGCTGTGGGTCTGATCAGGGACTCTCCCAGCTAAGGAAGAGTTTGTCCTCTGTGTGTTACTTGTGTGTAAGTGGTTAGAGCTTCTGATCTTGATAAAGAGTGTGGCTCCAATGTGACAAACGGTGTAAAAAAATGAATGTAGTTAATATCTCCTTCAGCTTCTAAGGGCTTAGGATTGTGAGATGTTTGTGAAACATGAAAAAAAAAAGAGAACTTGATCATCTTCACAGCATAATTTTGCAGATTTTTCATTAAGGTAATGCTTGTTAATGAAATGTAGGTCAGTGTCACAAGGTGCTGCCTTCTACCCCTGATTCTCTGGCTGTGGCATGGGGCTGGAATGGGAGGTCTCTTGATTGGAGAATGTGAAGACATGCATGGACGGTATGGATTTCAGGAAGTCTGGAGAAGCTGTTTTGTGGATGTGCTGGAGAGGTGATTCTAACTGTGATGGAGTAGGTATATACTACTTGCTGCTGCCTTTGGACTCTGTTTGCCACCATGCATGATTACCTCATCCTAACACTTTTAATGGAGTCTTGGAGAGGTTTGGAGCTGCCACCTGTAAAGAAGCAGATTGCTTTAACAGGTATAGCAGTCTGTCTCCTGAAATCAAAACTTTTTGTCTCTTTAAGCTCTTAAATATCTTAGAAGTTTTGATCACCAACAATCTATGCAGCCTGTCTCCCTCAGCATTCTAGTGTGCTCTGGAGAAGCTGGTGGTGAGAAGGGACTTGAGACATCTTGTATTGTTCAGTGTTGCTTCTTGGAGTAGTTCTGAGTTATTTTCATCACAGCAGAATTGTTGATATCACCCTTTTTAATCCAAGATGGAAGCTTTCCAATTCTAGGTCTTTTCTGGTGAGGCAGAGAGAGCTGCTATGTAAGTATGAGAGCAAAATATTTTCTTGGGGAGAAGGGAAGAAAACAATAGCTCGGCTGCCCTTCTGGCTAACCATGTTTTTGCGAGGCAAAGTACAGACAGGATTTTCCACCCTCCTTGGCTCCAGATGCAGTAAAGAAATTGAAAGTGCTGAGTTAGGTATTCTACTCCACCCCTGAGAGCTCTAGGTCCAGGATGGTAAGCATATTTGGGAGTAGTTCCCCAAATTCATATTGTAATCAGCCTATTAATGGCTGGCTTGGTCCCACCCCCAGCACTTTGGCTATAACTTTTCTTCTGGGAGACTTGACTGCCAAAACAAATGTTCTCTTTGGCATTGATTCAGGAGCTTGGAGAGGGAGGTAAAAATTAAATAGAAGTCTTGATGAGTGTGGTGCAAAGTCTCAGCTCACTGACTGCTCTGCTGCTCCTGGTAGGAAGGGTTGTTTTCTGGTCATATGTGTGGGTAAAGAGCAGGGAGCATCAGAGATGGCAGGAAAGCCTGGGAAAAGGCGGGAGGTTGGATGGGAATGGTGGTGCAACTTGGAAAGCAGCAACAAAGAGAAACAAAGCACAAGAGTCAATAACATTTCAGTTGAAAGGCCAGTTGTTTTGTGAGTGGAGGCTTGGATTTGCAGCTTTGGTTTTTCCTTATAAATAGAGATGCTGATGGCACTTGTCATCCGGAGTTCAATACTGTCTTTATGGCTCAGAAGCTGTGTAGGAAGGATCTTGCTGGAGAAACCTCTCCTTTTCTGTAGTAAGGTGCTAACCATATTGCCTTCCTATCCAGTGAATACTGTTTCCCACCCTAGAGATTTGCTAGTCTAGACAGCTCAAGAAAATTAATGTCATGTAATACATGTAATTACTGATCTGTCACATAGGCTGAATGTTGGGCTGCGGTATAGTTAGTCTTGGTTTTCTGAAGCAGGTATATGAGGAGCAGGGCTGTAGTAGTTCATCTTGTGTCGGGCTGTTTAAAGGAGTAGGAGTTTCAATCTTCTTTTCTGTCTGTTGTGGTTTACCCCAGCTGGCAAGTACCACACAGCCCCTTGCTCACACCTTGCTCTGTAGGATGGGGATGAGAATCAGAAAAAAGGTAAAGTATTTTGATGGGTTTAGATAAGAACAGTTTAATATTTTAATTAATGTAAAATATAATACTAATTATAATGACAGTGTTAATAGTAATTTTAATGAAGAGGGGAGAGAGAGGGAAATGAAAGCCAAGGAAAGCAAGTGGTTCTCAATACAGTTGCTCTCCACCCACTGACTGATGCCCAGCCCCTTCCCAGGCTCCTGGCCAGCTGTCCTCAGTTGATAACACTGAGCATGATGTTCTGTGGTATGGAATATCCCTTTGGCCAGTTTGAGTCAGGTGTCCTAGCTGTGTTCCCTCCCAGCTTCTTGTACAACTCGTCACTGAATGGCAGAAAATGGGAAACTGAAAAGTCCTTGACTTAGAGTAAGCAGTACTTAGCAACAACCCAAACATCAGTTTACTAGGAAGAAAAGTAACACAATCCTGGGGAAAACCAGGACACTGTCCTTTCTGGTGTGGTCTTACCTTTATGAACCAGGTGGCTAGGATGGTGGTGGGGAAGCCTGTGTACACGTTTGGAATCATGGTTCAGGTTTTGCAGATGGCTGTGAACTGGTCAGTGTTTTCTTATCAATCTAATCAAGAGAAGCTTGGTACTCAGAAATAGCAGTTCTGTGTGGTGAAAGTGTGCTTGAACATTCTCTGTACCCCTGTTACTCATTCCGTCTGCGTGGGTGTTTGCTGAATTGTGGTTTATAAATTTAGGAAGGGAACAGCTGCTTCCTCAAAACAAGTACCTGTCTCTGAAAACCCTGTACCTTCCCTGCAGGAATTACCAATACCTTATGGAGAGACCTGGTGGCTTGCACGCACTCACAAAAGAAAGGAGATGCAGACATGATATGTGGAAGGGGAGCATGCTCAGCCTGTCTCCCATCTGCTTTGGGTGTTTGTTGGACCTGTTTCTTATAAAGCTGATCTCTAGGTTG